CCTTAAAAAAAAAAAAAAAAAAAAAAAAAAAAAAAAAAAAGACAGTCTGAGTTTGACATGTCAGAAATCCCACCTCAGGGTCTTTGTATTTTCTGTTCTCTATGCCTCCAATGTTTATCTTCTGAATGTTGACATAACTTGCACCTCTGTTCTTTTGGGCATCTGCTCAAATGTCACTAATAGTGAGACCTAAATGAATACTTGATATATAGGATAGAAATCCCCATTCCCTCCCTCTTAACTCTCCAGTCCTTTAATTGGCCTTCTTTTTCTTCTCCATAGCACTTAGCAACTCCTGGAATGTTATTTTTTATTGTTATTTGGTTATTTTTATTGTCACTTTTTTCTGTCAAAGTAATGGAAGCTTCATGAGGACTGACCATGAGCAAAATAAATACATGAAATATATGATATATTAGATGGTAATAAATGTGGTGGAGAAACTAGAGGAGGGAATGCATAAAGGGAGCACTAGTGTCAGAGTAAGGAATGCTATTTTTATGCCAGAGGACATGTGTTCAATAAGTCCAGTGAATGGACGATGTTGACTTCCTGCTGTCACTAATCTCTGGGTTACCTGCTCATACTTGGATTGTCAGTTTATCAACTATATAACCAACCAGCTTCTTTTCTGCATTAAACTCCCTGTCATGAGTATTTGGTAGTTTGTTTTCTCAGTTAGAACTTGACTATAAACTGATTAGTGGAAATGTAGCCAGTGATTTAATGTGAGTAAATGACAGGCTCCTCGGTCTCTTGATAAAGTAATGGGGGACAGCCCCTGAAAAGGTGTTTTGTAGCAGTTGAGAAGTGAAAGGAGCACAGGGACAGGCAGTCTGATGCTACACTTACATCCAGTTTGATTCCTCAGGACCCCACTTCCAGGGCAGCACAGCCCCACATTCTAGAAAATCTTGATTGGGAGATACAGGCCATGAGGTTAATTTTATCTTTTGTTCTTACAGTGACCAAGACCCCTGTGCCTGTCAGATACCGGACCATTACTATCTTTTTCTATGGCGCATCAGATCCCTTCTACTCTGCCAGCCCCCACCCCTCACACACACACACACACACACACCAGATATAGTAGCCACCAGGACTTATATTGCTGAGGATTTTATTGTGGAGGATAATACAGGAGAGCAGCTTCAGTACGTGGAACTGTAGTCCTCTCCAGCTACCTGGGTCCCAGATGGTTTGGGAAGGCATCGTGGGTTCCTGGAAAGATTGTGAGATTATCGCTGGTGTTTGAGGTAGCTAATCAACATAGGGGGAACATGTAGTTGGTCGATGGCTTGTGGCTGGCCGGCCTGCTGCAGGGCTCTGCGGATAACTAAACGGGCCTGTGACTGGAGCAACCGTGGAGTGGCTGCAGCAAGAAGAAATAGGTCGTGAGGAGCAGTTCTCAGCATATTCTTTCCCCCAAGTTTTCATCTGACCTGCCCTGATTACTACACCCTAATGCCCTCTCCCTTCTAAGAAGGCTCCCTGTCTCCCCAATGCATGATGCCAATGGGGACATACCGAAGCACATAGACGGCATGCTCAAGGTCACAAAACAGTCATTGGCAGAACCGGGAATAAAAACTGGGCTAGTGCTACCCATCCCACCCATTTCATCTTAGTGGTCCCTTCCCTAATATGGAATCTATAATCTTTTCTCCATTGAGGCCCCAGGAGAAGAAGGAAAATGGAGTTCTCTCCAGTTTATCCCAGAGGATTGGCTTGGACCATGCTTTGGGGCCTTGGATCTCGAAGCCAAGAGGACAATGGGCTGCCTTGCTCACCTCGGGCCTGAAGCAGCAATGCAATGCCTTTATCATCTCGTGAGGTGAGGTCCAAGGAGAGATTTGGAAGGTAGATGTTGGCACCAAAATCAATTAACAGTTGGATATACTCTGGCTCACAATTATGGTGGAGGCAGATTTCGAGAAGGGTGCGGGGCTGTGGGACACGAGCCAATAGGTCCTGGTCTGTGCAGTTGTAGTCAGGGTCTGCTCCATGTAGCAAAAGCAAGCGGAAACAGTCAAGGTGCTTATAAACTGCAGCCAAATAGAGGGGGCCAGAACATGAAGCTATGTTTGAAGCCCAGATTGATACTTTAGCCTTGACATTGGCCTCTGCACCATGGTCTAGAAGTTCCTGCAGGATACCAACAGCCCCATCACGGGCAGCTGTGAGCACAGGAGAACAGTTGTTGTAGATGCTACCACCAGGACAGGCACCAGCTTCCAAAAGCACACGCACACAGTCCAGATGGCCATGACTGACAGCAGTAAAAAGTGGTGTCTGTGCCTTGACATCCAAGCTGTCAACATCAGCGCCATGTGCCAGAAGGACCTGTAAACAGCTCAAGTGGCCATAAGAAGCAGCCAAGCGCAAGGGTGTCCCAGGAACACCCCAGCCACTCCTGCTGTTAATGAAACGTTTGTACTGTTCCTGGCGCAAAAGCTGATCCAAGGTATAGGAGTCATTGTCATATACTGCTTGACTGAGAGCCTGCTTCTCCCCTGTGTCAGTGTCCTCCTCCTCCTTGTCAGGCTGCAGGAGGGAGAAGATCTTCGTGATGTCCATGAGGCTCATCTTGGCTGTTTGGAACAAGACTATTCTCATTATGAGCAGGAAGGTATGCCAGATCTGTGGGTGATCAAAAAATCAGTAGAAACTGAGGGTCTCCATGAAAAGTTTGAATGCCAACCTACTTGAACCCCTTGCACCATACTGTTCACCACCAAGCCTCTCATTCATGGATCTCCTGCTTCTCACTTCCACTGACTTATTTCAGGTCCGAGAAATGGCCAACCAAGCAACTCAGGTCATTTTACAGTTTGGTGTCTTTGCATAAACTATTCTGCCTGCCCCTTAAACTCTTACTTTGGGAAGCTTTCCCTAATCTCCTCCTCCTGCTCAGGAGTTCCAAAAGATCACAACTAGACTTCAGCTATGAACAATTTAACAACTTCCCCACTATATTCCCACTTATCTATGCTCCAGTAGTGTGTAAACTCCAGGGTCAGGAATATGTATCCATATTGTATTCTTCTACTCTCAGTAGGGCCCACAACATGGCTAGAGATACATCTTACTCACTTCAGAATGTGTGGATTAACGAGATGGCTCCAGCTTGAAAGTTGTTAGACGAACAGAATGGTGCTTTTTGGCATCAAGCTGTCATTCCTGAGCATTCTGAAATTAGTTTCATGGGGCAGGCCCTCAACATCACTTCTTGGCCATTTAATAGAGTTCAAGTTCTTCACAATCCCCCATATGTAGCCAACTCTCCCTCTCCCCAGCCTTCTGTAACTGCCCTCTGACTGGTCCCCATGCTTCAGAAACAGAGGTGCTCAAGAAATGGGTGTCGAATGGCATTTATTGATTAAATGAAGAGGTGACATTACAAAGAACACACTTTAAGCACAATAAATATGTGGGGAGTCTTCAAAAAGTTCATGAGAAAATGTGTATTATGAAAAAAGTATGCATGGATTTCAACTTTTTTGTATCAAAATAAACTTGTATACTTTAATTTTCTCAGAAACTTACATTATTTTTCTGTTATTATGCCAGAGAATATGTGCACATATAAGAGAGAAAAGTATCCTCCAATGGGGCCTGGTCATACTGCAATCTCCTCTCCTCCAGTTTTCCTTCCTGTCAGGATCCCAGGCACACACATGCATGCATTTGGCATATGAAGTCACTGGGGTCAGGACTCAAACCATGGTTGGCCACATGGGATTTGGGAGTGTGTAAACACTCATTTGCTGTGCCATGGCACCAGCCCTCTAGAAACTTTTGAAATCCCCTAGCATATGGCAGAAAATGGTCAAATTTTTCAAGGCAAATTCTCTTCTCTGGTGACAACTGGTTTCTTTCCCAGGACCACAAGGTCTCTTTGTTTGCCATCGTCTCCTCTGAACCAATTGCTTCCTTATCCCTCTAGACCAAGCCTTTTCCCACACTCTCTGCCTGACCTAGCCTAGAGCCTTACCTTAACTTTCAATTCTTCTCTCCCTATAATACTCAAGTCCTACAAAATCACTTATGGCCCAATGACTGATTCAACCTAATCCCTGATTTTACCAGTCCTGTTACTAGTGCTCCAAAGTCAAGGTCACTCACCTTAGTTTGGAATGTCATTGGGGTGAACTTGCAGGGTTTTCAGAGCTCAATTCTTCCTTCTTCTCCCATACCCTGCAGCCAAGATCTCAAGGCCTCATACCTCCTTTAATTTAGTGTCTATTCCCACCCCTCTTTGTTATCCTGGGGCCTTAAGTACTTACCTCACAGAAAGAAAATTGTGAGGTGGGTGGGTGGGGTCACCTAAACTTTAGGCCCCTCTTTGCCTGCCAGCATCAGCTCAATATATGGTCTTATTGTTCATTCATTCTGAGGTACCATGAAAAGGATACAATTTTGGAGATCAGACAGACCTAAGTTTACAAATCAGCTCCCCCAGTTCCTAGCTGAGTAACCTTGGGCAAATCTCTTTCCTTCTTCGGGACTCAGGTCACTCATATGTAAAACAGAAATGCCTCATGAGGCTGTTAGGAAGAAGATAGCTACCAAATATTAGATCTTCAAAGATGAGATTTCTTTCTCCTTCAGCCTTCTCACATTGGGTCCTTCCACTCAACCATTTTAGGAAAAAAAAAAAACAAAAACAAAAAAAAAAAAACACACGACTAAACTAAAACCTTCCAGAATCTTTTGTCCCACTCTAGCTAACTTTCTGTCTCTCCTTTCTTCATCAAACTTATCTGAGAGTTGTCAACTTCCCTACTTTACATTCGTTTTTCTACCCTCTGCACTCTGGTGCCACCTACCCTCAATCATACACCAAGAAAGCTCTTAAAAAGGTAATCCTTATGGCTAAACCCTTTGCTCTGTCCTCCATTCTCTTCTATCCAGTCCCAAATATTTAGCTTTACCTGATTACAAGCCTATCACTCTGAGTCTTCAGCTCTCTTTTCAGCACCAGGCATGTATCCACTAAATCTCTCTTTTTTTTTTTTTGAGAGTTTTTTTGCTATAGGGCACATGCGCTCGCCTGACAGACAGAGAGAGACATAGAGACAGAAAGCGAGAAATCACCCCCCGGGGGGATGGTCACGCCACAATCCCTTCTCCTCCATTCTCCTCTCGGGATCTTGGGCACGCATGCACACGCGCCCAACGTGAGTTTTAAGCCCCCGGGTCCAGGACGCAAACCGCGGTCGACTACGTGGGAATCCAGCGACATAGCCATTATGCTAACTGCTGGTTCCCTCCACTAAATTTCTTTAGGCACTTCAGAGTAAGTAGTATCATACTTATACTACTACCACAAAATTTCACCCATATCTTAGCCCTCACCATCTACCTGGTCAACCAAACCAGAATCTCAAGGTTTATCTTAGTCCTCTTACCTCTCTGTCCCATTTCCATTCAAGTCCATCAAGTCCTGTGGATTTTACCTCTTAGGAACTTCTGCAGACCACCTTCCCTTCTCAGGGTCCATCTCCATTGCCAGTGCTTTATCTGGGCCTCCCACTGTCTTTGCCTCAACAGTTATAGTAGTCTCCTAAGTAGTCTTTTCAGTATTTTCTCTGGGGCCAGCAAGTACTTAACCAATACAGTGGTTAAGTGCTGTGCAGAAGAAGATGGATCCCACATAGCCAATCAGGGTTTGAACCCTGGCCCTGGTGGCTTGAAAAATACACCAGTCATGCATGTGTGGGCCTAAGATCCTGACAAGATGGAGATCTGGAGGGAAAAGAATTGTGGTGTGACCAGGCTCCATTGGGTGGTCATGAATGCACATGTGACCTCTGGGATAAAAATAATATATATATTTTTTCTCCACATTGTAGCTGAAGTGATAATTTTAATATACAAATCTGTTCTGTATCAATCATGTTTTAAATTTAATAGCTTCTCTTTTATTCAGAGTACAGCACAAATGCCTTAGCCCAGCTCCTGGGTACTTTGTGAGCAGAACTTGGTCAACCAGAATCAGCATAAGGGAAGGGGAACCATGGCTGTCCATATACATCATGCTTTTGTCTGCTGTATGCACTTCCACCTGACAAGTTAGTTTCTTCAGAGTCTGTGCTCCTAGATCACTATAGCAGTCATTACATTGAATTGTATCTCCTTCTGTGTATCGTTTTGCAGATGGAAAGAGAATATGGGATAGAAGTAAAACATGGGTCTGGAGTTCTGCTTTAGTCCCAGTTCTACCATTTAGTAGCTGTGTGATAGAGGAGGTCACTTAATATTTCTGTGTCCATTTCTTCATTGGTAAAGAGAAAATAATATAGTACCTGCATTGATGGTGGTTGTTAGGATTAAATGAATTAACACATAATAAGTTCTTAGAACTGTGTCTGAATGTAGTTTATTATCAGTAACTAACTGTGATTCTGACTATTACCAAGGTCTTCACTTTATATTACTATTGTTCCCTACTTAATGTCCTAGAAATTCAAAGTTGGAATGGACCTTGCAGCTCATTTAATTTAATTTATTCAACTTAGAGATAGAGAAAACAGGGACCAGAGGGAAGCAGGAACTTCCCTTAGGTCACATGGCTACTGTTGTCAATTGTCCTATTAACAAGAACTCAGAACACACCTATAATTTTGTGTTTTTGAGAGCTAGTCACATAGGGGACCAGCAGTTAGCGTAATGGCTATGTCACTGGACTCCCATGTAGTCAACCGTGGTCTGAGTCCCAGACCCAGTGGCTTAAACTCATGCTGGACGCATGTGTGTGCATGCCCAAGATCTTGAGAGGAGAAGGGATTGTGGCGTGGCCCTCTGCGTCCTATAGCAAAAACCTCTCCCTCTGTGTCCTATAGAAAAAAACCCCCAAAAAAAAAAAAAAAAAAGCTACTCACATAGTAGGATAGGTAATATTTTGTGGATGAAAGAAACCAAGGGTGGGAAAGTAAGTGATTTCCTAAGTGCTTGAAATGAAGGTAATAGCAGGGTTAGATATAAACTGCACATTTCACTCTTCCCTATCCTGTTTTTTTGTTTGTTTGTTTGTTTGTTTTATATTGCAACATGGAACACAAGCACATACCCTCCCTTTTTATTTTTTTTGCTTAAAATAATTTAATTGCAAATGAGTTAATTCCTTACCAACCCCAATCCCAGCTAACCCTACAGATCTTTTTTCCATAGCAAATTAGATACCAACTGGTAAATAAAGAGAAAAAAAAATTAGAATGTCTATCAGATTATACAACTATAGACACCAATTCTCATAACTTAGTACATTAAAAAAAAGCAAAAACATTTAATGGGTACAAAAATGGAAAATTATCTGTTGATTATAAATGTATATGGCAATATCTTTGACAAAACTAATATATAATGTATTCATGCTGGAAAAATAATTTTGTATGCTGGAAGATTACAGTGAATTAATGAAAAAATCCAATTTAAAAATGCTTAGCTAGTTAATTAAATCACATTCTTATAGGATGTTTAGAAAAACAGAACTTGGGACCAGCAGATGGTATAGCAGTTATATCACTGGACTGCCACATGACTGGCCACAATTCCAGTCCTGGACTTGGTGGCTTGAAAATTATATTGGCACATGTGCATACATGCCCAAGATCTTGGGAGGAAAATGGAGGAGAAGAGATTGTGGTCATTCCCCATAGGGGTGGTTTCTCACTTTCCCACTCACAGTATCTCTCTCTCTCTCTATCTGGTGAGTTCATGTTCCCTAAGGCAAAAACCTCTTAAAACATACACACACACACACACACACACACACACAAACACAACTGAAAATCCACCAATTTCTTCTTATATTAATATACAAGGACTTCATGAGATAAAAGATGTTATTCAGAGATTGTGTCTTCTCTCATTTAATATACATTATCTGTGATTACTAGTGAAATTATAAAAATCACTGTTACTGTAAGTAGTCAATAAATGAAGCTTATTTCAGGCTGAAGATTACCTAAGAGTATTTATTATTGGAGTCTGTGAGTCTCCTCCTTCTTGCTTCAAGTAGTCATATTTTAGCTCCCAGGAGCCTCAGCTTTTGAAGGTCATGATGAATGCCAGGGACTTTGGTAATGAAAGGTTCCCTTGCAAAATATTTCTTCTGACAGTCCTTAAGGATCCCCTTCTTACTATTTTATTTTGGAGACTGGGGTCAGAGAAAATGAAGAGGGCAGGGATTAGCAGAAAGAAATGCTGAGGCTCTCACCAAGGTTATACCATGAGGCCATAGCAGAGCCCACATCATACAATGAACCTTCAGAGGGTGATCAAGTTATGGCCACTGCCTGGCTTTGGCACTCGAGTAAATTGTGCCTCCATTAGATATGGGTAAGAAAACCTAGCCAGTCTATTGTGTAACCTCACCTTGCTATAGTTTATTAATCAGAGTTGTGTACCCACTGTGTGCAATGAGTCTCTTCCTTATCCCCAAAATGCAGGAGTTATAAACCTTTTATTAACTAAAATAAATTTGTTATGATATTGGCTCTTGAGGCAAATTGATAAAGTCTGTGGATCCCTTTGAGAGTTACTTTTAGTACATAAAATAAAATAAAATGCATAGGATTAAAGGAAACCAATTATATTAAAATACTGCTATCAAAATATTTTAAAATGTGTGATATACCAATAGATGTTCCCTATTAACACATAAGAAAACAAGACCTTGTTTTGTTAATAATGTCTAAGTGTCAATGACACTTCAAGGTCTCTACCATAACTAAAATATGAAAAAAGAAATGTCTGTGATTTCTCCTGGTGACCAAGTTACAGGAATTGGTAATACTACTGTCACTATTTTTTGCCTGCATTCATCTCTGAAGGAAATGATAAACTTCAGTTAGAGGTTAGGAGGAAAAAAATATTTGCCCATCCTAGTTTCTGAATCCGTTGAATTCTATCTAGGGCCCTCCTGGTGTCTGTGAATCTAAGTTAAAAACTTTCAGAGGAGTGACTTATTTCCTTGTGCCCTGGAACATTCCTTCAGGCATTAGTAGACTATTGTTAATCTTCACCCTCCTCCTTCCACTCTGTGGAGCTCTACCCTTAAGTCTTTAAGTCCACTCCACTGCACCCACAAACACAGACTCAACACTACCCAGAGACCCATACACCAAAAAAACTCTTTGCCCTCCTTGTAGTTATGGCAATTGCCCTCAAGAAGTAGGTCCCTTTAGACCCAAGGGCCTAGGCAGTCACACC